GCCCTGTCCGCACTGCTGCAGCCCCTGCCCCCACTGCTGCAGCCCCTCCCCCCACTGCTGCAGCCCTACTCTTTGGATTTCTAGGACCTGTGGGATCCAGCACCTGGAAAGGGCAGGTGGGAACTTGAACCTGCTGACTTCCTTCTACTTCTGCATCGTCACTTTCTCAACTGTGGGCTTCGGTGATGTAACACCCAAGATCTGGCCCTCCCAGCTCCTGGTGGTCATCCTGATATGTGTGACCCTTGTGGTACTCCCACTGCAGGTGAGTCCTCATGCTCAGCACAGGGATAGCCAGGAGGCATTCCCTGAGGAGTGACAAAATGACAGGAGGGATCCATGGGGGTTGTGAACACACTGAACACACTCTAGAAGGCCATACCTGGGAGAGCACTGAAGCCAGAGGAATTCCCAGTTCTCTGGTGAGTCATTGCAGAGGTTCTCCCTTGACTGGTGAACAGTGAGGTGGTGTTCTGCCCAAGAGCATCTACAGATCATAAGCTCTTCCTTCCAGAGGGTCTTTGGTGCCCAGGTGACCCCTTAAGAACCTATACAAAGACAGATTGTGGGGGTGAACTTGCCCCTCTTTCCCAACCACAGCCAAGCAACTTTTAGAGCCACAAGGGTCAAATTGAGATGTCATTTCCTCCTCTGTGCTCTGGCCTTGCAGCACTGAGCCCCAAGCCCCACAGGCACCCCCTACTTCTCCCTGGCTGGGAGCTGCCTGGCTCCCCAGTACCAGTCCCCTTGTCCAGAGTATGCTGCACTGAAAGCCAAAAGTGCTAATTGCATCCCTGTCACCCATCTGTATCCTTCCAGGCATTTCTCCCCCCACCTGTCAGCTTCTCTGTCCAGAAGCAAGTCCTGGAACATTCAACATTCTGCTTCTCAGCTTCTGGTCTGTGACCTCATTCCCAGCCTTGTTCAAAGGCCCTGTCCTTCTCCAGGCAGCTGAGGTTTTAATGAGGTCTAATCCACAGAACTTTCCCCCTTAACATTTTCCTTTCTAACCTAAAAGGACCATTCCCTCCCTCAAGTCTGTTCTCTTACAGGGTTTAAGGTTAGCTTCTCACACAGAGGGCCAAGCCCACTCAGAAGGGAGTGTGTATGGTAGGATGGGGGTGGGCCTGCCTCAGCCCCATGCACATCGCTCCATTTCTCCAACAGCACTTCCACTCCTGAGGCTCTGCATAGAATGCTCTGAAAGGTGTCTTCAACCCTTCCTTCTCTGGTTCAGGGCTTCTTGGATCCTTGCTATCCTGGCCAGGCCTTTCATAGCACCCACCTGTATCTCAGCCTTCAGGAGGTTCAAGACCAACTCCCCATGTGAGGACTGGGGCTGTAGTGTGTAGGTGTCTCCCAAGACTGCGGAAAGGTGGCCACACACCACGGACTTAGAAGCAGTCACAGTTATTGAGGCCACAGGTCCAGAATCAGAGCTCTAAAGTCATGGTGTTCGCCCTGCCTCAGCTTGTGGCCCTCAGCGTCTCTTGGCCTACAGACAAATCATTCTAAATTATCTGCCCTGCATATGGCCTTACCTTCTCTTCCTCCTACCCCCTTCTCCTTTCTTCTAGCTGCACTTGGCACCCTTGTCAGCTCCTCCAATACGAGCTTTGATGGTATGACACCCAAGATTTAGCTGTCAAAGCTCCTGGTAGTCATCCTGATCAAGCATTGGGTTCCTGACATAAACGCCACATCCTGATCTCTACAAAGGCCCCTTTTATTTTTCCAAATGAAGTCACATTCCAAATGAGGTTCCGGGAAGTCATATTTTTTGGGAGCACATTTCACTCGATATAGATCCTACCCTCACTGTGCTGCCCCACCCCCTCTGCAACGCCATCAGAACTCCCTCCTGGCTTCTCACCTCATAGCCCCACCAGCTAGTCAGTGACTTGTCCATGATACCCTGACCTATCAAAAGTTGAAGACAGTGTCAGGGAGGGGTCAATGGACAGGCAGCCCAATCCAGCCATCTTGAGTCTCAGCCTTTTCTATCAGGACAATCTCTCTCTCTGGATACCCCAGTCCCTTCCCCAAAGCCCTAGAATCACTTTGAAATGAAAGAGGAACAAAACTTTTTTTTTTTTTTGCCTTCTCAGAGGCTCTGAAGTGGAGCTCTGACTCTGAGGCTCACTCTCATTCATGGGGTCTAAGGGCCCAGTGTTTAAGATTAGGCAGCAGGTGTTCTGGAGCCCAGGTCAGAATGAAGCTGCAGTGGGGCACTGGGGATGCTCAGGACCCATTATTTGATAGTTTCCATGTTGTTGTAGCCTCCTGACCACATCCTCCACTGTTTGCCTATCTCTACATGACCTTGTGGCCCTTGTCCCACCTACAAGGACCTCACGGAAATTGGATTTAGGAGTCGCCATAATCCAAGATGACCTCAGGTCAACAAATTTCAGCCATAACTAACCCCCCCCCCTCCAAATCAGCTCCCATCTCAAGATTCTGAGCAGAGAGTGACTAGGAATCACTGTCAAGTATTCATTAGCTCTCTTACCCCTTTATCAGAATCCTGTAAAACAGGCACTATTCTTACACTTTTCAAGTAAGGAAACTGAGGCCTGAGAGTTGTTGGAAGCAAGCCCAGGTGTCCAGCAGCAATGTGCCATCCTGGATCACCTTCAGGGACCCCCTGTGTTCCCCAACTTTAAAGTCTTGATACTCCCTGGCCACGGGCTTCCTCATGAGGACCTGTGGAAGTGAGAAGATTACATCACTTCTGAGAGTGGACATAACAGTCAGGGCCTACTGCCATTCAGAAATGGGCTGAAGCCATGTGGGGTCCTGATTCCCAAGATGGAATAGGTAGTGGACCTCTGACCTCAGAGCCACATGCAGTATGAAGCCTTGGGCAGAGCCAGTGCTGCCTAGCTCACATGGCCCAGGCAGATGTGAACCTGGCAGTCCTCACCACAACTCTTCCCACCCATCCCATGGGGACCCCACTGTGGCTTCCAGGAACCTGGTCACTGCTGATAGAGAGCCAGACCTAATTTCAATGATAAATATTTCCTGATACTGTCAGGAAAGCTGACAGCAGGAGCCAAGACTCTCATGTCTGTCCAGATGTCCAGAGTAAGGCTCTGGCATCCACTGCTGTCCATGTGACTTCTGAGCCCACAAGCTGAATGTGACATGACCTGTGTCGTACACCAGTTTCTGACACTGCTTTATACAGATCATCTCCTGGTCTTGCTTTGGCCTCTGCTCAGGTCACCATCCCCATCACTCCTGCATCCTGCCAGCCAGGCAGGCCTGCTCTTACTTTCTGTCCTCAGCACCCATGCCATGCTACCCCACAGCCTGCCCCACCCTTGTTCCCCATCAGATGCCTATACCCATTCCTCCCTCCCTACAGTTCGAAGAGCTTGTCTACCTCTGGATGGAGCGGCAGAAGTCAGGGGGCAACTACAGCCGCCACCGAGCACAGACAGAGAAGCATGTGGTTCTGTGCGTGAGCTCCCTCAAGATTGACCTCCTCATGGATTTTCTGAATGAGTTCTATGCCCACCCCCGGCTCCAGGTAAGACTGTGGACACCCCTGGGGAGCCCGCAGATTTCTTCCAGGCTCCCAGAGCAGTCACCTACCCCCCAACTCCCAATCTGGTACAGGACTGCCATATGCTTGTGCAAGGCTCCTGAGCACTCTAGACCCTGGTTATCGTATCCTGTGTGTGGGTTGGGTTGGTGGGCCTGTGGTGGTCCCATAAGGCCTTGGGAGTGACACCACCCAGGAAACAATACAGGCTGGGGCCTGGAGCCTGCTCAGAGGCATTGACATACAGCTTTGCCAGCAGGACTACTATGTGGTCATCTTGTGTCCCTCTGAAATGGATGTCCAGGTGCGGAGGGTACTGCAGATTCCCCTGTGGTCCCAGCGGGTCATCTACCTCCAGGGCTCTGCCCTCAAGGATCAGGACCTCATGCGAGCCAAGTGAGTGCCAGCCAGGACAGTACAGCCACCCCCAGGTAGAGGTGGGGCCACAACAGGCATAGCTGCCTGAGGCAGGCAGGAGTTCCATGTGGAGATAGGAGGGGTGAAATGGTCAGAGTCTAGACCCAAGTGAGTGGGACCCTAGAGCCTAACTCCACACGTACATGCCAGTCACTGCTGGACAGCGTAATAAACACACCTGGCCAAGCTGTGGTCTCTGTTCAGCTGTGCGTCTTGCCTTTGGGCACTTTTCCCTCTCCTGCTCTGAGTCTGGGGATTTTCTCTGTTAGGTTTTAGGGAGCTTAAAATAGACTAGAGGTGGGAAAAACCAGCTGCTGAGAGTCAGTGATGAAGGCACGAGGGCTGAGGGTGGCTCTTGATTTAAAGACAAGTTGACAGAGTGACTTGAGGTGACAAGAGTGTGCTGTTAACATGTAACTAGAATGTGCTACCACACCATCTGGGATTCTTCCCCCAAAGCCTGTCATACCACATTTTTCTTCCAGAAGGTTCCTGTGGTCTTTGTTGTATGGTACAGGTGATGCAGGGCCAAGGGCAAGCAGGACAATGGCCCAGCTCCCTCATCCCCAGAACACCAGGCTGGAACTCCCATGGATGCAGCCTTTTGGGATCCTGCCCAATTCCCATGAGACTGTACGTGCTTGTGTCCAGCTCTGGGGTGGCAGGCAGGAGAGCAGAAGTGCCAGGCAGGCATGGAGGCATACACAGTTTGTGTGGGGCAGGCACCAATGTGAGGTGGTCTGAGGTTTCACTACCCTGCTTCTGGGGTAAAGGTTTCTCCGACTGACCCTCTGCGGAGAAGAGCTGTTTTGTGTATTTGGCCTGCTAGGAATCTGGAAGGAGCGAGACATGACCACCCAAGTCCAGGCTGTTGAGTGGTCAGGCAGAAGAGAGGACAGGTTCTATGTTCCAACACAGGGTTGATGGGAGCCCAGGAGATGGGCCCTAGATACTGGACAGTGCCCTAGGACCTAGGTCATCAGCTCCAGTAAGACAAGAGAACCCATTTTCTTACCCTAAGCCAATGTGTAGATGGATGTGGCAGAGATTGGCTCAGAGACCCCTCCCAGGGGTCTCCCAGCATGCCACACCACTGGCCAATGGTGATTCCAGGGCAGGCTTGGCTCATGAGCCTTGTTCAGTGTCTGAGCTTGGACTCTGCGGTGGTGTCCTGGAATCGTTACCTGCTCAGAATGTGCCGGGAGAATCTGGGGAGGCTGGGGCCCCTTGGGTACACAGCGGGATTTGATGCTAGGATCTGCTGGGCCAGGCTTAGCTGTCTTGTCCTTAGCTGTCAGGCCCCTGTCTTGTCAAGGATGGCCCCTGCTTGGCCATCCTTTCTCACCCTTCACATGCCAGGCCTCTCCAGACCTCGTGGGGAGGCCTTCTGGGTCCTTAGCCACACTCAGCAGCTGGTGTTCTGCAGGATGGACAATGGAGAGGCCTGCTTTATCCTCAGCAGCAGGAATGAGGTGGACCGCACAGCTGCGGTGAGTTCAGGCAGACCCCCCCCCGCCTGCCCTGCCTGCCTGCCTCAGCAGTAGGTCCTCCAACACCAACCACACTTCCTCCCAGGATCACCAGACCATCCTTCGAGCCTGGGCTGTGAAAGACTTTGCCCCCAACTGTCCCCTCTACGTCCAGATCCTCAAGCCCGAAAACAAGTTTCACGTCAAATTTGCTGGTGTGTTTGGGGCCCTGTGTCATCATGGGTATGCAGGCTGCAAGGGGGTGGAGGTGGGAGTAGAGTATGCCTCTCATAGGGTCAAGGGAGGTTCACCTGTGGGACAACATTCCCTCTAGATCTCTGCTTCAGGGGTAGCCTTGGCAGAGGATCTGGCCTTGACCTGGGGCCAAAGTCTGTGAGATCAGGAGCCAGAGGCGGTGTGGGAAACAGGAACACTGACCAAAACCTGTATGGACAGGGTCTGTGCTGGACATCTAGGGTCACCTGGGGGACAGGTAAGGGCCCACCTGGGTAGAGCTGAGGTGATCCCAGAAACGTAGCTGCTCCTTTGGGACTCAGTACAGCTCACAGAGATCCTGAACTATTGCTGAGCAGGAATTGGCTGTTCAGAACGGGCTTCCAGGGGATACCAAGCAAGAGTCTCTTCACACATTTAGAAAGATTTGGGTGCTGTGGGGAGGGACCGCAGACAGCAGGGAAGATGGGCCCTGACTCTGCAGTTCCCACAGACCATGTGGTGTGCGAGGAGGAGTGCAAGTACGCCATGCTGGCCCTGAACTGCATCTGCCCGGCCACCTCCACCCTCATCACCCTTCTGGTGCACACATCCCGTGGCCAGTGAGTGCCCTGTGCCAGACCGACTACCATGCCCTGGCCATTCCGATCAGCCCCACAAGGCAGGGCGGGCTCCATGGAGGAGGAGGGCATGTAGTGGGCAGAGGTCTGGCACAGGAAGGGGTCCAGGGAGACGCAGGGTGCATTTAACCAGTGGGTAGGAGGGGCAGCCCTGGCTGAGGGTGACAGCCTCCTTGCCCTTCTCTTCCGGTAGGGAAGGACAGGAATCACCAGAGCAGTGGCAGCGCATGTATGGGCGCTGCTCGGGCAACGAAGTATACCACATTCGCATGGGTGAAAGCAAATTCTTCCGGGAGTACGAAGGCAAGAGCTTCACCTACGCGGCCTTTCACGCACACAAGAAGTACGTGGCCCTTGGAGCTGAATATAGGGTTGCGCTTGTCATTCCCACCAGCACTGGGCTACTCATCCTCCCCACCCAGTGCCAGGCCAGCATGGGTGGGGCCCTAGGGCAGGAGATCACAGAGTCTCAACTCAGGACAGAGTAGCCTGGCCCTGCCTACCTGGTGAGGACGGCCAAGTCAGGACATCCCAGGACAAGGGTTCATGTAAGCACCTGCCACGTGGCCACCCCTCTCTGATGCTGCTAAGGCTGTCCTCCAGTACCAGACACCCAAAGCGAGGGCTTGTCCAAGAGCTCTGGGTAGGGTCCCTAGGAGGACAGCTCAAGCCACAGGGTGTAGGAGTGGCCCTGATGCTCCAGGCCATGTCTGCTCAGGTATGGTGTGTGCCTCATTGGGCTGAAGCGTGAGGAGAACAAGAGTATCTTGCTGAACCCGGGGCCACGGCACATCCTGGCCACCTCTGACACTTGCTTCTACATCAATATTACCAAGGAGGAGAACTCAGCCTTCATCTTCAAGCAGGAGGAAAAGCAGAAGAGGCGGGGTCTTGCAGGGCAGGCCCTTTACGAGGGGCCTTCCCGGCTCCCAGTGCATAGCATCATCGCCTCTATGGGTGAGCTGAAACAGCATGCAGGTGACAGATGGCTGGGTTCCCAGGGTGAGCTCCACACCCCACCTGCCCCTGGGCAGGAGACCCTGAGGCTCAGCTCTGTCTTGGACAGTGTGAGCCTCTCTGGGCATTGGGTTTGGGATCTAATTGGGGTACCCTCACCTATCAGTTTTGGTGAGCATCAGTTACCTGGGTAACTAAGGGCCTGTGGGGTATGTGGTAGATGAATTACTAACCAGAGGCCCCTGTAGTTCTATCACCCAGGGCATCCCTTGCATACATGAAGGCTCTGGCATCCATTGGATGTACATTGTCTGCGGTTAGCTTCAGTTTAGCTTCAGGGCTCTTCCCTGGAATGCTGTCTTCCCAGAACTGGTTCAAGTGGCTTTCTGAAGCTAAGGCTCAAAGGCAGCACCTGTGGTGTGTGTCATCCCCTGCCAGTCTTCTAGGGGACAGTGGAGAACAGGAACTGGTGGAACTGGTCCTTTGGCCTCTCAGGCCACAGACCCACGGGCTCTCCAGGCAATGACCTCTCATGTGGTGCTAGGCCCAAGCTGTGGCCCACAAGGCAAGTTGACACTGTATGCCCAGCCTAAGTGGTCTCTAGGGAACCATATGCTTTGATGCTATGGCACACATCCTCAGTGACATGTGATGTGTGCCAGCAGTTGTCAGACTGAAGTTCCCACTCCTCCAGTAGCAGCTTGCCTGGGTGGTCAGGCCTGGGGAAGAGCTGGGGTTGGGCTTCCTGCTGCCCAGCCCAGCCTCTACCCATTACCTGCTATTTGTTCACCCCCATGCCCTCTAGGGAGACAGAGTGACTCAGAAGCCCTCCTACCCCTCAGTTCTGGCCCAGAGCTGCATCCTTGAGCCAACCACACTTAGTAGCTTGGCAACCCCAACCTAGTAGGGCTGGACTGGAGTGGGAACAACAAAGACCAACAGGTGCAAAATGGCCTCGCTGCTCCTGTTGTTACTGTATGGCCACACTCCTGAGTCCTGTCCTTAGAGCAGAACAGCCAACTTCCCACGAGCCCCAGCGCCTTCCCCCAGGAGGTCAGCATCAGTCACAGCAACCAGTTTGGATGGGGGCCCGTGGGGTCTACTCAACATCACCACCTCTGGAGGGCAGGGGCTCCTTGTCCTGAGACTCAGGGACGTGCTGAAATTCCTGGGGCCACACAGCTGGCCCAGAGAGTGGGCTGGGAAGGGCTGCTGGTCAGGTTCCACCCCTCTGTCCAGGGACAGTGGCCATGGACCTGCAGAACACGGATTGCCGGCCCTCCCAGGGTGGCAGTGGTGGAGGCAGCGGCAAGCTGGCCCTGCCCACAGAGAATGGCTCTGGCAGTCGGCGCCCCAGCATTGCACCTGTTCTGGAGCTGGCAGACAGCTCAGCCCTGTTGCCCTGCGACCTCCTGAGTGACCAGTCAGAAGACGAGGTGACACCCTCAGACGACGAGGGGCTCTCTGTGATTGAGTGAGTGCTGAGTGGAGCTCAGCCTTCAGGGGAGGGAAAGGTCCCCAGTGCTGGGTATGCTCCATCTGTGGCAATCCCTGCCTTGCAAAGGGGGTTCTCAGGATGGGCCCCCAGTACACAGGGAGTCAAAGCAGAGGTCCTCTACCTCCCCCGCAAGCCTAGTCCTGGGAAGCTTTTGAGAGCATTCTGGTGTGCTAGGCTCTCAGACCCCACAGTGGCACACATAAGCAAGGTAGGGGTTACAGCAGTCCACACCTGCTCGACCTTGAGCTGTTTGCCCTTGGTTCCTCCACCAGCTGGTGTAGAGCCAGGTAGTCACCGCAGATATTCCTGAGCTCAGCAACTCTTGGTACTGTGGGTGTGGCCTACCTCATTTCAGGTGGGTGTTCTTGGGGCAGGGTCTGTAGAGGTCAAGCCCCTGTCCAGAACCAGAGACTACACACCTACCCAAAGTGGTCACTCTGGCAAGGGGACTGAGGCCAAGTCTTCCTGTCTGAGACCAACAGTGACCTTAGTAAGTCCTTAGTAAGTTCAGCTACCTTGACCTCAGTCAGGTCGTCTACCTGCTGGGAGCTGCTCTAAGGTTGAGGGGTCATTGGTGGGTCTCCCAGATCCTGCAAGCAGAAAGTACCACGGGGGTCCCTGTGGCTGTGTCCCTTAAGGCACATGGAAAGAGAGCTAAAGGTTTGTGACTGGTTACAGCATATGCATGGTGTGTATTGGTCACTGGAGGGTGTGGGGAGGGGGGAAAGGCAGCCTTCTGAGAGGCTAGTCTGGCCTACTGGAACCACTGGCCCCAGTACCTGTCTCATCACCTGGGTGCCATGGGCATCACTCAGGGGACCAGTGATTACAGCCCTGATAGTCTTGGCTTCCAGGCTCCAGAGAGTGAGGGGGAGAGGGAGGGAGGGAGGGAGCAAGGGAGGCAAGGAGGCAGAGAGGCTGGGAGGGAGAGAGGTAGGAAGGGAGGCAGGCAGAATATGAATGTGTAGATACATGTGTGGAGGTGGGTGGGTATTGCTTGTGTATGCATGTGTGTTTTGTACATGTGCATGTGTGCAAGTGTGTGTGTGTTTGTGTGCACTCACGTACATGTGTCTGTTCCTGTGTTTTCTTCTATGTGAATGTGTGTAAATGTCTGCACTGAGTATATTGTGTGTGGAGTTTTTCTCCAGAGATACAAGGCTACCCCTCCCCCCCACCGCCATCTAAGTAGCTGAGGGTTGACTGTTAGGGGACTTCTTCGTGGGCAGCAACACTCCCAGCCCTTGTTGGGTCCTGTAGAGGGGAGCAGCAACAAATAGTTCCTCTGTGCCCCATCTCAACCTCAGCAACTCTGGGGCCTTGGTGAGCCCCAGCCCTAGCCTGGGAAGCAGGGCCAGGTCCCTGAGAGTTTATCTCATGTAGCTGCCCCAGGCAGATGTAGGGAATAAGAGTTGGGAGGTGGTGAGCCATCTCTGCTAGTACTGGGTAAAGGGCAGGTTTGAAGTGGCCAGGCCACTATGCCATGATGCCATGCTGTGGTCCCTGTCTTCATCCAGGTATGTGAAGGGCTACCCCCCCAACTCACCCTACATTGGCAGCTCCCCAACCTTGTGCCACCTTCTGCCTGTGAAAGCCCCCTTCTGCTGCCTGCGACTGGACAAGGTAGGGCCGAGTCCCCACAGCTACACCTGCACTCTGCTCTGGTCATTTACCATCCCACTTTGGTGTTCAGGTCATGCTGCAAAATGGTGCAGGAGCAGACCACTCCCTGCCTGACTCCACCTGAGAGGTTAGGACCATCGTGTCCCTCACCTTTAAACGCCTTGTGTGTTTCCAGCTAGGGAGGACTATCCCCTCACATAACCCATTGCCAGAATCGGGCAGAACCAGGGGCTGCTCTCAGGAGCAACCCAAGGCTCCAAGGGCCTTTGTCATTCTTTCAGGCAGTACATGCCTGTCATTCCCTCTCTCTGCCTTCCTTGGAATCCCTTGTTGACCTTTGAAGAGCTTGGACTCTGTGGTTGGTGGGATATGCATACACACACACACACACACACACACACACACTCCTGTGCAAGCATGACTTGGCCCTCTGTATTTCTGTAGCTAAATGCTTTACTGGCTGGGCTTCCACCAAGCTTTGTGGGGTGCTGACTTTCAGTGGTTGCCAGCAGGTTAGGCCCTGGTGGCTGGTGGCCCCATATCTCCCCAGGGTTCCCATGTGCTACCCGTTGCACGTCCTCTGTTGTTGGCCCACCAGCTTCTCCCACAGCCAGAGTGGTGCCCAGCCTGGGTTCCTCCACATCCCCAGGGCTGCAAACACAACAGCTATGAGGATGCCAAGGCCTACGGGTTCAAGAACAAGCTGATTATCGTCTCTGCTGAGACAGCCGGCAATGGGCTCTACAACTTCATTGTGCCTCTGCGAGCCTACTACCGGTCCCGCCGGGAGCTCAACCCCATCGTGCTGCTGCTTGACAACAAGTGAGGCAGAGTGCAGTCCTCACAGTGCCTCCCTTCTGTGTGTGCGTGGCGGGAGTGGGGCATCTCTGGCTAGTCCCCTGTTGTCTTCTGCAGCCATGCCTCCCTTGCCTTGCAGGCCTTAGCATCTTCCCCTTCTAGTTTTCCTCCCAGGTAGCAGGACCACCAGGATTCCCAAAACCACAGCCCCTTTCAAAACAAGGACTCACGAAGCCTGGCGGCCAGAGCCCAAGGCCAAATCTTGGCTGTATAACCTCAACAAGTCCAGGGCCTCAGTTTCCTGAATTGAATAAGTGGTAGATCCTTTGGCCTTGAACCCTCTCAGTCCCATGTTTTTGGGGCCCCAAGAGTGTGGGGGAGGAAATGCCATAGAACAGGTGGCACCTCCAGGCCCTGCTGTCCCCACAGGCCTGACCACCACTTCCTGGAGGCCATCTGTTGCTTCCCCATGGTCTACTACATGGAGGGCTCCGTGGACAAGTAAGATGAGAACAGCCATTGCCGGGGTGCCTGTTGTCTCTCTGCCATCTTCCCCTAGAGCTCCTCAAATGAGTAGTCAGCCCCAAGCTAGGGGAAAGAGGGGGACTGGGAGGGGATTGGGGGCAATCCTGTGGCCCAACTCCTTGCCCTGTGTAGCCTGGATAGCCTGCTGCAGTGTGGCATCATCTATGCTGACAATCTGGTGGTGGTGGACAAGGAGAGCACCATGAGTGCTGAAGAGGACTACATGGCAGACGCCAAGACCATTGTCAATGTGCAGACCATGTTCCGGTGAGTCCCTGACCCGTGGGAGTGGCCTCATGTGAGGTCTCCACAGAAGTGGTTATGAAGCCACTGTGAAAATCCAACCACAGGACCTACTAGAGTTCACAACCCTGACCATTGAACCCACAAAAGACCCCACAGCTATGACCATAGGACCCATCAGTGCTCACAGACCACCACAGGATCCACAAGACTACACCTCAATGGCTATGGGACCCACCATAGACCCCACAGACCTGACCAACCCCCGTAGCTGTAACACAAGGCCACTCAGTCATGACCACAGGACCAACCATAGACCCCACAGCCCTGGGGGACCCATCTGGGATACACGTAACCCTGACCACAGTCTGGGGAAGTGCTTAGGCCCTCAGCCCTGAGTGGAGGACAACTCTCCCAATCATCCTTCCTCCAGGCTTTTCCCCAGTCTCAGTATTACCACGGAGCTCACACACCCTTCCAACATGCGGTTCATGCAGTTCCGTGCCAAGGACAGCTACTCTCTGGCTCTTTCCAAACTGGAGAAGGTAAGTGTGCCTTTCCTGGTGGGCCATCCTTCACCAAGGAGCCTAAAGAGGGCAGAAGAGAAGGGAGGGAGCAGGGCTGTGGGAGCATGGGCTTCTGTCCTGCAGGAGCTAAGGAGATGGGCTCGGCTGATGCAGAGTTCTCCTTGTGGTGTTACTGCCCTGAGCACCTGCGGGTCCATAGTATCCTCTCTGGGATCAGCCAGGAACTTTTAACAGTTACTTACAGCCCACCAAGCACCGTTTGCCACCTCTGTCATGGACACTAAGGATCAGAGGGTGGGCAAAACCTGAGCAGGTGGAGCAGCTGTGGCAGAGCTGTTCCTAACTCTTGCACTTCTGATGTTGGAATTCCATGGGAGGTGTATCCGCTGGGCCAGATGTGGAACTTAGGGACACAAGGAGTTAGGAAGGTTTTAGAGACACTAAGGCCCAGGAACCCAGGAATATGGGGAACTTCAGGAATATGGGGAGAGGTCACTGTGTTGCTCTGATGTATGGTAGCTGTGGCCCTACCTGCTAGCCACACAAGGGATGGCCAGGCACTGGGGGAAGGGCAGTGGAGGCCAGGTGTGGATGAGGCAGTCACAGCTGCCAACGCTTGCTGTTCTATGGGAGTCCCAAGTTCAGCCTGGGCCAGCATGCTTGTGGAGAGCTGCCGGAGACAAGCCCAGGAGTTGTCGGGCCAAGCCTGATTCTAGATATGAGGCAGAACAGACAGACAAACTCCGGGGTTTCTTGCTGCACATGAGCTCAGCTCTGTTCTGAAGCTAGGTCTCAGTGGAAGTGGCCCATAGGAGCCTGGGATCTGGCTGAGCCAGAGAAGCAGGAAGAGGCCAGGTAGGCAGAGCCCTTGCCATCCAGCATGGCTCCTGCCGTCCAGCCTACTCACTACTCTGGACTTCACCCTGCTCCACATCTGGGTCCATACTAGGAAGGGTCAAGGTGTGCCTAACAGCCAGAGGTACTAGGATTATGGGAGACCACTGCCCTAGGTCTCACAAGGGTCCTCACAGTATGACCAAGTGTAGACGAGGCTGGTGTCAAGGCACAGAGTCACAGTGGAGCCTGTGTCCCTACACACAGTCATGCCCAGGGCCAACCCTGTTCCTCAGGGACTACAGGACAACCTGGAAATGGACAAGGCAGCATACACAGCCAGTAACTGCTCACAGAGCTGGGCCCTCTAAGGCAGATGTCAGCAGTAGAGGGTGGGGCTCTCATTCCTTCCTGTAGCATGGACCTGGTGGCACCTCTCTGCATCCTGGACTTGTCAACTGTTGTTCATCTCAGGCAGTGTGGCTTTGTGACAATAGAGGTGACAAGGACAAGCTGAGAAAGTCAGGACACCATGATATGTGACTCCATGGATGGTGGGGCTAGCATTCATACTGGATGATGACCTGGGCCCTGGGCAGACAAAATAAGGAAGGAGATGATGAGGCAGGCTGCTGGCGCTGTGGCTGCGTGGAGATGGTAAGCCCGTGCGTCACTGAGGACCACCCTCTGTAGGACCACCCATGTCAAAGAACAAAGTGTACTCCTTGTCTGAAATATAAGAAACTAACATCTGAAGCCCTTCCTTTCCTCCTAGTCTCTTAGCCCCCAGGTGGTCATTTCCTATCTAGTGCTGTTCTTACAACACAGCTTGAGTTCCTACAGTGGTTCACCTTCACATGCCACAGTGAGAGGGCAGTGACTGCAACATGGCACAACCATGTCTCGTAGCTCAGACACACTTGGTTCTTCATGGGCCAGGAAAGGCCACACATCCTAGTTCCACTGTTTCACTCACTGACCCAGCATTTCCAATGCACTTGCCTGCGCCTGCTACTGGAGTGCAGGAATGGACAAAATGAGACACTTCTGCCACCTTGACCTGTGTGTTTCCTTCTGGAAGACATGGCTGGTAGAGGGTTCACTAGTGGAGAGGCTGCCTACTGCTACTGCTGACAGCCTCTAGAGCTGTTTGCGTTTCCGTGAAGCAAATTCCTTATGCTGTGGGAAGTGTCCTCAGATGCCAGGCACAGGGACTTGGAAGATAGGGCCACGTTAACAAACTTGAAATAGAAAGTGGTCCTCCATGCCCACGTTGGTCCCACGTAAACAGAAGGGTACAAGAGAGGCAGGACATCAGAGATGGAAGCAGCTCCACTGCTGGCTTTGAAAATGAAGAAGAGGACACAGGCCAAGGGCTCTGGGCATCCCGGGAGCTGGTTAAGGTGGGAAGATGGTCCTGCAGAGCCTCCACAGGGCACAAGGTCCACCTGGCCCTGTCTTCAGCCCCTGAGAGCCCACACTAGACTTTCGAATTCAGAGCCTTGAAATGGAGTTCTGAGCCACTAAACCCGTGGCAATGTGTCCCCCAAAAAACCCTCATCATATGCAGTCTCTGGAACTTTGTGGACACGGAAGAGGGCAGTGAGCAGCAGCCCCTCCTGCTGACATACTCCAGAATGTGACATTCTGACATCACAGAATGTGGTTCAAGGTCATGCTGGGTGTGTGCCTCAGTGTGTGAGGGCCTTGCTCCCACATGCAGGATGTTATCTTGCAGGTCCTGGGTCCTACTTTCTTCCCAGAGCCCCAGACTCTCCCTAGGCTCTGGCCTTGACAGTGTCTGGGGGATGCAGGTGGACATTCAAGCCTGCTGGCCAGAAGTCTGTTGGTATGCACACAGATGCATATCCATGTACACATACCATACACATACTACACATGTGCACACAGATAAATACCATGCGCTCATGCACACAAAATGCATGCATGCACTTACCACATACACAGGCACACATGCATACATATGCCACACATACACATATCCTATGTACACATCTTTGATGGCCACCCACAGTCCTGTGTGCCATCTGAGGACCCCTTTCTTTTAGCAAGAACGGGAGAATGGCTCCAACCTGGCCTTCATGTTCCGCCTGCCATTTGCTGCTGGCCGAGTGTTTAGTATCAGCATGTTGGATACACTGCTCTACCAGGTCAGCTGGGATGTGGAGGGAGGTGGGCAGGGTCCCATGATCCCAGACCAGAGCCCGCAATCACTCTCTTGCTGATATCTGCTCCCACTGCTCTGAACGGTCCTCCCAAGGTCCCCTGAGACTTGTTCCTGCTGGAACAGCAGGTCTCAATGTCCTCAAGGTTACCCCGGTACCACTCTGGGGGTTTTGGGTCCCGTCCTTTTTGGACCTCATGTGCTGGGATGGCAGGCAGGTGGCTTCTGCGTGTGCTGAGGCTGGAGCATCTGCCTCACGTGGCCCTGCTGCCCCACAGTCCTTCGTGAAGGACTACATGATCACCATCACCAGGCTGCTGTTGGGCCTTGACACTACCCCAGGCTCTGGCTACCTCTGTGCTGTAAGTATAGGCAAGGTGCACAGTGCCACCTGACACAGGCGTGGCACCCGTGGGTCACTGCAGTTCTGGGGCTCTGGGTACTGCCATAGCCTCTTCCCAGCTCAGGGCTTCCCGCTCGTTGCAGATGAAGGTAACTGAGGATGACCTGTGGATCCGCACTTATGGCCGACTCTTCCAGAAGCTCTGCTCCTCCAGTGCTGAGATCCCCATCGGAATCTACAGGACTGAGTGCCACGTCTTCTCTGCTGAGGTGCACTCCCATTGCTCTGCAGTTTCCGCCCTTGCAGCCCAGCTCTGGCAGCCGTGTATGATGGATGTTTGCCAGGCTGCTTCCAGGCAGGCTCCAGTGTCTAAAACCTTTGCCTCCAGTGAGGGCAGCTGCTACTCTGGGAGGAGCGGTGACCTTGGGGACTGGGTGGGGCATCGGGGAAGATCTGGTGCGGCCAGTCCACCTGTTGTGGGCAGCATGCCCCCTGCCCCCGCCCTGCATGTTCCGTGTGCCTGCTGAAAAGCTAAGGAACACTGGGTAGGGGCAGACACGCCCACAGGCCCCACACAGCCCTTGGTTTCCTTTACAGCCCCACGACCTCAGAGCCCAGGTGAGCACCCCGAGCCCTGTGTGGAGTTTCCACTTCACCTTTGCTTCTCGAAGTTCCTCCCTACCTGGATCAGGACCCTGGGAAACAGGCGGGAAATTTAGATGTGTTGGCCACTGGGCAGTTCAGGGTGGGAGGCTTTCAGCAGTCACCATCCTCCTATACAGTGGGGAAACCAAGGCAGGGGGTTCACCCACATCACCTGTACCTCTCACCCCAGCCCAGCTGCAAGCACCATCAGGAGATCACACTGTAGCCTCCAGAATGGCAGGTACCCCATGGCCTGACCCCCACACCCTCATTATCCCTCCCAGTCTCTGCAAAGAACTACCTGATGGGGTCCTCACATTGTCCCCAGCACCTCACATGCCCCCTTAGTCATGCACAGCCTACCACACTTCCCTCTGTTTACACTGACTCCCAAGGACAGGGACTACTGCCCCACCTGCATATGAGGAGGCTGGTATAGACAGGGGCCCCTGTGCTAGGGCAAAGCCAGGAGATGCTGGGCTAGAGGCACCAGCCAGACCCTACTAGACATGACGGCCTGGAGAGACTAAGGATGCACCCTCAGCCCTAGGGAACTGGGGACAGGCTGGCTCCACCCTGGATCATATTTGAGCGGGGTCCAAGAGGCCAGGCAGACTTGGGTACAGGTGGGAAGGTAGTCTTCTGGCCTGGAGAAGGCTGGAGTTCACAATATGGGTCCAGGGCCCATCTCCTCTCCTGGCACCTAAAGCCACAGGGGTCCCCAGCCATAGCCCTCCTGCCTGCCCAGTCCCAGATCTCAGTGAACATGGAGGACTGCGAGGATACTCGGGATGCCAAGGGACCCTGGGGCACACGGGCTGCATCTGGCAGTGGCAGCACCCATGGCCGCCATGGGGCCAGTGTTGACCCAGCGGAGCACCCACTACTGCGCCGCAAGAGCCTGCAGTGGGCCCGCAAGCTGAGTCGCAAGAGCAGCAAGCAGGCGGGGAAGGCACCTGCGGCCACGGAGTGGATCACCCAGCAGCGGCTCAGCCTGTCCCGGCGCTCGGAACGCCAGGAGCTCTCGGAGCTGGTCAAGAACCGAATGAAGCACCTGGGGCTGCCCACCACTGGCTATGGTAAGGGCAGGCCACAGGGCAGGGCAGGCTGGACAGTAGCAGAGCAGCTGATGGGCATCCCACACCAGCAGGAATGGCCCTGGCTCACGGTGGGCCTGCTCGGCAGAGGGCAGAGGAGGGCTGCACCCACCTAGTGTGGAGAAGGTGCAGAGTGACCCGCAAACTATCTCACTTCTACCACTCTTGGAGCCTCAATTTCTCCACCATAAAGTAAGGGACTGGACTTAGAGAAGACAGAGTGGAGAGCCAAGCCAGCTCTTCAAGCCTTCAATAGAGAGCCAAATCCAGTCTTCCCTTTTCATGAAAGACATGAAAGGCAAGGAGTTGGCAGGGCCACCGCCCACCCCTGGCCTGGCCAGGGATGGGGTGGGGCAGTTGTCAGGGACAAGAATGACCTGCACCTTTCTCTCTCCAGCCCATGTTCTTCCCTAGGAGTCAGCAGGTTTCTGTGGCTTCAGAGTCAGCCCTAGGGGAGCATCTGTGTGAGATTTTTGTAACCCCCTTCTCTCTGTGCCATTTTTTGGGTGATATCTGTATAACTTTGATCAGGCCTTCCTGCTGATGAGGTCAAAGGGCACCCAAGATCTCTGTTCTGGCCTGTGCCTCTCCCCACTTCTTCAGCACCTCCACACTAGCCATTGCCAAGGCCCACCCTGCATTCTGATGTCATCATCACCCAAGTAGGAGGTGCTGCATATGTTGGAAGTTCACATTGGGCATTCTGGGCATATTTACAAGGTAGTGCTAGACTTGACTAAGAGGAAGGCCCAGGGACAGCTGAGAGCAAGATTTTGAGAACATGACCACGCAGAGCCTTCCCCGGCCATGAGTACACTGTGGAGAGTGTCCCCTCAGTTCTGCCTGGATAGCCTGCTGCTTCAGGGAGCTAACCACCAAGGCTAAGGGGACTTCAGCATTCATGAGCCATTGCTAGTGCTAGCAGATGCAAAGTCTAGCCCACATGACCACACTCAGAAATGACACCCAGAAGTGTCACCTGCCCTGGGTACCCCTAAGCCTCTGCAACCCCCACCCCTACCTGCCAGAGCTTGGCAGATAAGAGCCAGATTCCCTTTGGCAATTGACTTGCTTCTGAGGTGGCTAGTGCTGGCCACTGTTATCCCAGTGTGGACAGTGTCTGCGTGTAGCTGGCCACTGCCCTGCACCCATTCTGCTGTGCCAGTGTGCCCACCCCGCCAATGCTTGCTGACCTATCTCTCTCTCTGTTTCTGTCTGTGCCTCTCCTATGTGTTCCATAGAGGACGTAGCAAATTTAACAGCCAGTGATGTGATGAATCGGGTAAACCTGGGATATTTGCAAGGTAATTCTGCTCCAGTGAATACTGGCCACCACACGGGATGTGCCAACCCTTTGCCACCTTGGCTGGGCCAGGCAGTGACCAGGAGAGAAGAGAGGGCTTTGTGTGTCCACAGTGGGTTCTCAGACCTTCCTTCTTGCTTTGTTCTAGCTGAGGGCCATGGAAGCCCAGATGATGGTGCCCAACTTGGCCCCAGGCTTAACCCAAAATACTTGACCCAGTTCTGTTGTTAGGATGTGCTATGGCATTCAGCTTTGCCCTGTCTATACAGCAGGCTGTCTCAGCAACAACTGGACTTTCTAGCTAATCCTACGAGATACCCAAAGTCCCTGTGTGTCTTAGTGGGCCTCCTGCCAGGCATGAGAATGGAAATTAAGGTTGGCATTCTGTGCCAAGGCATAGGCAGGCCTGCATTGCACAAGACAGGGATACTTGGGGCTTCAAGAGATGGCTCTACTCTACTGGGCACCTCCTCCAAGGAGCTACTTCCCACTGAGGCCTGTCAGCACCCAGAGCAGGGCCGAAGCCACTGTCTTTGGTGCCCCACCTCCATCCAGGTTGCCTGGGAGCTTTAGGGGTATCTGGGCCCAAGTAGATATCACGTTAGCTGCGAATAAGGATTTGCAAGGATGGCTGTGGGCAGCCACAGAAGTGAAGTGTTGGCATCTCCTGGGCTTGTGGTTTTCCTCATCCTGTCCCTCCATAACAGCATTCATGGAAGCTGGGCCCTCTGCTGGCACTTGGGGTTCTGATCTGCTGGTGACTTCCACAAACCAAGCATACCCTGCACCTAGCTACATCTGCTTCCTGTGTAGCTCCTAGGCAAAGTGGGCAGGCGAGGGCTTGGGCAGCTCCCAAAGGGTCACAAAATGCTCTTGGGTGTTCATTGAGCATCTCTGGGGAAAATGTGCTGCATCTTGGCAGCAGGGTCTCACAGTACCCTACATGCAGCAGGGAGTGGTGTCAGGATGTCAGGTCAGAATGCCACACCCTGCTCAGAAAGGGGCACACTCAGGGTGGGGTTGGACCCAGGTGCTCAGTGTGCATAGAAAGCAGGATGAAAGAGCACAGCCCTGAAGTTACTCTGGTTCTGAGATGACCAAGCTCTAACTACATGGGAAAACTACATGGTAATGTAGATGCCCAGGCCTGGGTCTAGGGGGTACTTGGCTGGGGAAGAAGAAAGGGGGCAAGAGGAAGCAGGGCCACTGCAGAGGTCTGAGCTGTTGGGAGTTGCCATTCTAGAAGTACATTCAAGCAAGGCCTCATCCCTGCCCTGCAGCCCACCTTTACCAAACCTGGGCATGCTGAAGCCACCTCAGGGTAATTGGCTTGCCCTCCCCAGCCAGGCAGTTGGAGTCAGTGCCACAAGACTGACCACAGCCCCACCCTGGTACTCCAGCTGGGAACTGGCATGGGCCCCTCAGCTCAACACCACAGAAACACAAAGCCAAGTCAAGTTCTGCCTTCTCGTGGGTTTTGCTAGTCTCAGACATTCCAAGATCTGCTCCTGGTTGGAGGAGAGTGGGAACCCATGGTCCAGCCCTAAGGAGGAAGGATCTAGCAGTTTCCTCTCACAGTTAGGGCTTCTGGCCCCACCTGTGGGATGTCTGTATGGTGGCCCTGACAGACACAGATCAGCGGCTGTGCTCTGAAGTGTTGTGAGCATACCTGAGTACCCCTGCTTCTGCACAGACCCTGCTGTCCCTGCACTGCCCACCCCAGCACTGCATGAGGGACTTTGTCCCAGAGTCACACACCTCCCACTTGGCTCCCAGCATGAGCCATACAATGGGGGATCTTGACTGTAGGATTGGAGGAAAAAGCAGGAATTGATGCTCATGGGACAGAAGAACATCCCATTGTGGAGGGCAGGCCACCTACCCTGTAGAAGTAGACAGGTGTTGTCTTCACCTGGACTACCCACTGGTCCTGAGGCCCAGCCCGTGCCCCCACTTCGCAGAAGCATTTTGTGCCATATTCCTGCATCCTGAGCTACAGCTCTGAGAGCTGAGGCATGCCCTGCCCTGGCTCAGTTGGCTCCCGGGGAGATTCTTCAGTTTCACAGAGGGGTCAGCTTCTTTCTTAGAGCTATGTCCAGCATGACCAAAGGATAGAGAGAATTGGGAGGGGCCACGCAGAGGATGCCCTGTCTCAGGTCACCTTCATTTTTTATATCCTTTGAGTCCAGAAGTACCTTTAAATATGAAGTGGGTAAACTGAGGCAAGAAAGCTCAGGGCCACTGCCAGCACTGTATGTGGTAATGGTGCCCTGCTGGTCAAGCACACACATTAATGAGCTAATTGGCAGTGTGTCTCCAGAACCGCCCACATTCCTATAGATCATATCCATGGTAACTCTGGGCTCTCTCCCTGGAGGAGCAGCAGCATAGCCATAAGCAGGAGGAAATGACCCTGTTCTCTAATCAGTGAGTCCAAAGTATAGGGAGTAGAGGTAGTCTTTCTAGTCCCCAGGGGTGGTAGCACCTGCAGAGCACTTCAGGGAGGCCTGGGCCGATGTAGTTGTGGGGCAGATGGTGTGTGTGTTATACAGCTGTGCATGTGGGTATTATAGGTATATGGATGTGTCATATGTGCAAGTGACCAGTAGTGTTTATGGGTGCACACAGGTATATGTGTTGGTGCATAGAGGGCTATGCACAGGTGTGTTTAAGTATACACCGTTATATATGCAGGTGAAGGCATGCATGGTTCTGCACAAGTATACTCAGGTGTTGTGCAAGTATGTATGCATGTGAGCATATGCACCTGCCCATACAGACCTGTAGGAAGTGGGAATGTGCAGGTGTGCTCCATGCCTCTGCTCAGGACCCACCCCCGACATACACACTTGAGGTTGGCTGAACTAAGCAAGCTGCACAGGCAGGTGGGAACCAGTGCTCTACTGTTGCTATGGCTGAACCCTGCTCAGTGCAGGCAGGAGTTGAGGACAGGGGTCAGGGCGACCAGCCAGTAACAAAAAAGGTTGGAAAACTAGCTCCCCTGGCTCCTTGGGGCTCTGCAGAGCTGTGCTGGGTGGAGTTGTGGTGATGTCTGGGCTATGTCCTTTGCAGATGAGATGAACGATCATCACCAGAATACCCTTTCCTACGTACTCATCAACCCCCCACCAGACACAAGGCTGGAGCCCAACGATATTGTGTGAGTATAAAGTCCTGGCCCTCCCAGCATCAGGTGTGGGGCTCTGTGAACCTACAGTTGGCACAGGTCTGGTGTGGCTAGCTGCCCGGCTTGCCACTCCAGGGCTTTCCTTGGTATCTTCTTCAGGTACCTCATCCGTTCCGACCCCCTGGCCCACATGTCCAGCAGCTCCCAGAGTCGCAAGAGTAGCTACAGCAACAAGCTCTCATCCTGTAATCCTGAGACCCGGGATGAGACACAGCTCTGAGCAGTGAGAAGGCCATGCTGGGGCAGACAGGTGGACACGGAACAAGAGGGAACACCGTCACACCCTAGCCTGGCCCACGCAGGCTGCACTATGACTATTTAGTGGCTCTAGGGCTTGCCCCCAAAAAGGAAGTCTTCTCAGTGGGGCCAGTAGTGAGACCACTGGACCACCCTGAAAGCTGGCAGGGAGCACTTTTTAACCTATTTTTACAAATCTGTTTGATTTACGTCTCTTTACACAGCTGTACCACAACTCGTGACTGGGTTCAGACCAAAGTGTGAGGCAAGCAACCAAAGGACAGAACAGGGACTGGACACTGCCCCAGAGCCCACCACCGTGCATGGCTTCACTCAGTAACTTCTGCAGGGGCGCTGGGGCCATAGGAGAAGGAGAGACCTGGAATTGGGGGGTCCTCTTGCAGTGTGTTCTCTAGCCACACAACATGCTGTTCTGATCAGAGCTGCTACTGGGCTCTGGAACTACACCAGGGCCTATGGGTTGCCTCTCCCCAGAAGCAGGTAAGGGGCCAACCAATAAAGATGCCACACATCTTTAAGGAGAGGAGAAAAACAGGGACTTGGAAACCTGGTCAGGAGGCCCCATCCTGACCCTGTGCTCTGCAGCCCCTGCAGGGGTCTGCGGTGCATCTTCACGGAGTCCTGCAGCTTTGGCTATGGAAGTCAGATACTGTTTCTAGCCATCACACTTGAGCTTCCCCAGCCATGATGTTTGGGGACCCAGGACTGGCAGTCGATGTGTCTCTGTGGACCATTTCACACACTCAGAGCAGTGTTATCTCTAAACAACTGGTCTGAGAAGCACAATTAACTCTGGGCCCTGGCCATGGCTCGGGTCTCCAGGGATTGCTCCAGGCAGCTGACTTCATTCTTGTTTGTGGTTTGTACAGTCAGAACCTTCTATTAAAATGGATACACCCTGCAGGCATGCATGGGACAAGACAGCCCATCAAGGCTCCAGAGCACTGGGTGTGGGATACCGCAGAGGCTCACCTGTCTTAGGGCTATTCCTCACCACAGACTTCACAGACTAGCCTCCAACCCCTGCCATGGCCAGCATGGCCTTCCCAAAACACTAACAAAATCCTCTGTGGCTATAAGTGGCTGGGTCTGGGCAGCTGCCCCAGGGTGTATGGGGTATAATGCCCAGAGGACCTCAAGCAAGCTGTCCATCAATTTCTATGGTCCAGCATGCCCCTGAGGAAGCCAGAGCTCACATAAGGCCCCAAACCCCTGGAAATCTATCCTCACCCCACAATGGGGAGGAAGGTGGCCCTGATGTGACTATGTGAATCACCACCACCCACCTGGGGTGTTTCTTGAGTGTCCTAAAAGGCTGAGATAAGTGGGATGGACCAAAGGGCCCAGGCTTTCTCAGAGCAAATGGAACTTCAGATGAGCAGGCAATAAGGGGGAAGGCAGTTGCTGCAGTGTGCCTGAGAAGGGTGCTTAGGGCCAAGCCTCCCTGTCCCGTGACCTGCCTGCAAATCCAGCCTTCCTACCGCCACTCCTTGCCTGTCTGGAACCTAGCTCACAAAGTATGCCTGAGTCTTGGGGAAGTGTTATGGGACAGAGTTGGCTGTGAGGACTCGGAAGTTCTGCGGCCTGGGTTGAGAAGCAGGTAGTTTAACCCTGGGTGAGGGTGGCCAGGACTTACCTAGGCTGGGATCTTATCAGTGGCCATCAGTCTGTAGCAGGAGGGGGCTTAGCCTGTACCCACATTCTATCTCCCTGCTCGACCACTTGCCTGGCTGCTGAGCCCAGAGAACAGCAGAGGTGCTCTTCATCTAGATGGCCGAAGTCTTCAAGCTGCCCTGGAAGCTGCCACCTCTGAAGCCCCTTGGGAAAAGCCGCCTGACCCATATGTGGATGTTTACTGCCTTGTGCGCCTACATACAGCATGGACAAACATTTTCAGTCACCAATAGTGGGGGGGGGAGGGGGGCTTCTCCCACAGGTAGAGGCAGATAACTCCACCTCAGCCTTTTGATAGTTTCTAAAGATGCCAAGCCCTGGGACTGGTACTTGGGCCTGGAGGATTTGTGTGCTGCGATCAATAAAAGCCACTTGCACAGCTGGAATCTTCCATGGCTTCCATTGCCTTCATCTCCAGGCTTAGAAGACAACCTGTCTTTTGCAGTATCCCTGTGCACTGCCATTCCTGGATACCGTCAATTCTCCCAGCCCTCATACCCTGCTGGGACACTCGCATGAACACTTGTTTCAAATGGAAAGGCCCTGCCTTTCCACTGCAACAGAACTTTCAAAGTACACAAAATTAGCAAGAAGCCTTTTATCTCTCTTGTTCCTAACTAATTGAGCCAAAACCTGCTCAAAATAGCGCCAAATGTCTTGGGTGCTGTAGCCTTTGGTTAAGTGAGGCAATGGCAGCAGTGACTAGGAGTGCTTCTGCGGGGGTGGGGGGTGCTCAAGAGCAGGGAGCCTGTGCAGTATGTGTTTGCTGCAGGTTCTAGGCCATCTCAGGAACTTGTTTTTAAAGATGGGCTTTGACAGGCAGAGGAAGGGATTTCTGATTGCTTAGGTGCTTAATGCAGAAAAAGAGGAAGGGCAGAGACAGAGACCATAGCAAAGGACAAAACAGTTGCACACGGGTGACACCAATCCAGCTATACATCTGCCACATCAGCTGGCCAATGACAAGGCAGAGCCACAGTGGACAAGAAAGCAAGACTCTGAGACATGACCCATCTCCCAGGTCCCACTCACTCCACCAATCCATGTGCCTCATGCTGCAAGGCATCTGGTTGGGAGTTTTCAAGACAGATTGCTAAGGGCGTGTGACCAGTCTACCTCTGCCAGAACACCCAGGTCAGCACCACCATGCTCTTATCCCACCACTCTGACCCTTCATCTTACACACACCCCATGCAGTCACATCTTAATGACGATGTCAAGGGTCTTTTTAAACTGAGTCACAATTTTTCCCCCTTGGATAAACTTCATTAGGAAGACAGTGTAGAATACAAAGAAATACTGCATTTGAATAACAATAAAACAATATTGTTGTGGGGAAGCTAACAGTTTTAGATAATACCTTATTAATTTCAGTTTATTTTCTGTCTTCCCTTCTGAGAAAGCAGGTTCCTTGAGAATGGGGTTCTGTGTGTCTAATGCTCGCTGCACACAAAGCAGAGATATACCTTTGGTATCAATAAAGGTTTGGATATATTATATATACTTTGTTCTCTCATATGTTATGTTCTCTCATACATTTCCCCTCCCTCATTCCTTCCAGTCCTTCCCCTATTCCCCAGATCAACACCTATTTTCCTTAAAAAAACAAAAACAGACAACAACAACAAAAACAGGCCTCCTAGAGCTATCCACTGAAAATGGCCTAACAAGATACAATAAGTCTAAACACAAACCCTCACAGCACGGCTGGACATGGCAACCCAGTAGGAGGAAAAGGGTCCCAAGTATAGGCAAAAGAATCAGAGACACCCTCCACCCCATTGTTATTAGTCTCAAAAGAACATTGAGCTACACAAACATAGGTATACACAGAGGTCCTAGCTCAGATCCATACAGGGCTGGTGTTTGTCACTTCAGTTTCTGTGAGCCCCCATGAGCAGACGGAGGCACCTGTCTGTCCCAGACCCTGCAGTGTACTTTCCCAGTGCAACTCCAACTCACACAATGCTTTAGTCTTGAGCTGGTGGTTAACATCTGCCTATGTAGACAAACAGCTGCAACCCTGGCTCAGAGTCCAGATTCCTAGGGGGAGCTCTGCATAGACAACTCTGGGTACCCCTAAAAGGTACCTGCCAGGGATAGGCAGTTTATACACAACAAGCCCCATCCTCTTTCTTTGTTCAGACCCTTTGCAGCCAGGGACATCCTAGTGTTTCCCTGGCCCAGGGCCTGCTCTTCTTCCAAGTGGGAGCATCCAGCTCTGCATATGTTACGTGGATCAACAGAGATGTCCTAAAGAGCTGGTAGTGGTCCAGAAGATAGCAGGCAGTGGGGCTCTTACACTGCCCATCCCCAGCCTCCACTTGAAGCACATGTCCACTAACTCAGATGGAAAGCCATGGCATTGTCTTTTGCATGGCCAGAGGCACTCTTCCCTCAGACTCAGGGATCCTCTCATAGGGCAGGCGGTACTCCCTTCACCAGGGAAACTGAGGCACTGGCCCACTGTTAAGAGCTCGGAGTAGCAAGGCACAAACCTGGACTTTGAAGTAAACTTCTCAGAAACTCCATCATCACACCAGGTTATACTGCTGGGGTAGTGCTACATTTGGGTGGTATCTACACCAACTCTCCATCTTGAGGTCCCAAGGAAGCCATAAAGGGCAGCCAGGCTGGGACAGACCTGCCCTGCCCTTCTCCAAAAAAACAGCGCCTCTGCCCACTCCCCTCAGGTGGAGTTCTAGCAACCAAGAAAGGCCAACCTCCAGGCCTGCCCAGGGCTTGGAAGCAACAGGATCAGCACATAGCATTGGCACAAGCCAGTGTTGCAGGCTGCACTGCTGACTTGCAGAGGCTGGGGCAGCCTGTCCCCAGGGGTCCCTAATTGGAGATATGGCAATATCTCCCTATTAACACTTCACCTGAAAATATTTTCTTTTCCCAAGCCATATGAGAGGATGAAATCTCACCCACTATGGCATAGTGAAGACACAAACCAAGCTGAGTGTGTGGACACATATCTTTGATCCCAGGATTCAAGAAGCAGAGGCCAGGCTGATATACATAGCAAGACCTTGTAAAAAAGGGGAGAAGGGAGGAAGTGGGGAGGGTTGCCTAAAAAGATGACCCACCGGTTAAGAACAATTGCTGTTCTACTGAAGGACCCAGGTTTGGTTCCTAGCACCCACCTGGCAGTTCACAACCATCTGGAACTCCAGTTCCAGGAGACCTGATGCCTTCTTAGACCTCTGCAGACATGAAGCAGGCACAGCTTCTAATCTATACATGCAGGAAACATTCATATACATAAAACAACTACAAAAAACACTCAAAAGCCCTCAGCAGCATAGTACAGTAGGGCATAGTGAGACAGGCAGAGGCAGTCAGAACTGCTAGGCCCTGCTTCTGCCCCTAGACACAGGGTGTTCTTCAGCACTTTGGCCCAGGGAGCCCTGTTGCCCCAGGGTGCAGCTATCAAATGAAGGCTGCTTTCCAACAGCCCCTCAAGTGAGGGGTGCCACCTTCCAGACTGTTTGAACCTAGAGGAGGATTCTGATTCCCACTGTCCTCTACAGTTAATAAATCCCCTTCACTTACCTGGTCCAGGTGCTCCATCTTATGAGACCCAGACCAGTTGGGAACAGTCAACATGCTTTATGATCTCTATGTTATATACAGGTGGACCACTAAAGTACAACAGGCCCATCACCAACCCAGGCAGCAGTCAATTTGGACTAAGCTCTCTGTCCTGCAGGAACCAACACCTTGTCCATCAACTGCTCTGCCCATGACCACTGGACCCTCCCTGGTTGCCCCCCACCACCTGTACACCTCGGTCTCACTATGTAGCCCAGGCAAGTTTATGATCCTCCTGCTTCAGTTGTCTAGATGCTCATGTTACAAAGTTGTGTTTCATAGCTAACACACACTACTGTGTTCTTTGGGTAGTTTCCAGTACTTCCACCATTCAAAAATGGGAGGAAAATGTGAGGTCAGCTTTCCCAGGAGAAGCCTTGCTGAGATGACATCTGTCATGGCAAAGTGAATCCCAAATTCCCATGTTCAGGCCCTAAGCCCCAGAACTTTAAATATGAATAGGTTTACTGTAAGGCTTTGAAAGAGGAGAATCAAGGTGACAAGGACATAGTTGATCCATGCCTATCTCACTGGTGTTCTTCTAAGTGTTCAAGTCATAGATATAGAAGGACACAGGGTGGAGACTGCCTTCAGGACTGTGCAAGGCAAATTCTTTAGTGGGGGGGGGGGGGACATGAATGCAAGTTTGCAGAAGCCAGAGGTTAAATGTTCCTGGAGCTCTCAGCATAAACATTACAAAATGTCAGCAAATCGATTCTGACAATGTGTTAAAAGGATAGGGCTGGGTTCATTTAGTCCAGAAAAACAAGTTTGTTTAAACACCAGGAAGAAATAATGGTGAAAAAAGTCACCATCATTTCAGTGGGATAAAAAGCATTCTATAAATCCCAACCTAATCTGGCACACTAAAAAAGGACATCTACAAACAGGACCAGGAGGGTGCCCTACAGCTCTGCTAGGCAGCTGTGGGTAGAAGCTGCATCAAGGCAAGGAGGCAGGAAAGACAAACCAAAGCCTTAAGGACAGTCCTTTTCACAGAATGTGAACAGGGTTCAAGTGCCTCTATCTAGTGTGAGAATTAATAAAGACTTGAACAAGACTGCTCATGACAAGTTTGACAGAAGAATCCTTTGTTTAGATGCTGTCTGCATCAGTGTTATTAATGGGAAACATGAATACAGGTAAAAACTCCCCAGCGCCCTCACAGCTGCAGGCACTGAACCAGCCACAGCTCACCTGAAGGCCCAGGCACCATCCTCTCACAGCCTCTGAAGAACTTCGTTCCCTCTGTGGTCTCAACTTTTCTGCCGGTATTTAACGTAACACTCTGGGTGGTTTTGTTTTATTCCCCCCCCCCCCCCCCGAACAAGGTTTCTCTGTGTAGCCTTGGCTGTCCTGGGCTCACTCTTGTAGACCAGGCTGGCCTTGAACTCACAAAGATCCACCTCCCTCTGCCTCTCTGAGTGCTGAGTTTAGAGAGGGAAATTTTCAACACTAATAAGTTGATAATGCAGCCCTAGAAATCTTAAGATTTATTTATCACAAGACAGCATAAAAAGTAAAAAGCCAATCGATTAGCAAAAGATAATGAAATAGGCAAAAACTTGTACAGACAGCTTACAAGACAAAAAGCATAACCAGCCAATGAAGAGATGGAACTGTGGTCAACCTCAAGTGGTCAGGAATGCCCATTGAGAGCAGGGGTGGTGGTGGTGACAGAGGTAGCACACACCTTTAATCCTAGCACTCGGGAGGCAGAGGCAGGAGGATCTCTGTGAATTTGAGGCCAGCCTAGTCTATAGAGTGAGCTCCAGGACAGCCAGGGCTACACAGAGAAACCCTTTGTCTCGAAAAACCAAAACCAAACTGAGTGGAAAGGGGCTAAGGAGACTGGCACCTCACAGGAGGAGAGTTTGATGAACACATGGCTGAACAAATGACAACTCATGTTGCTCCAAACCCCCGACCCTCCAGGGCTCCTGTGAGCCCACCATGTGCCAGCACCCGGCCAGGTGGACCCACAGGACCCTGCAGCAGGAACATGACTGTGGGGCCCTCCTGTGAAATCCTCCACTTTACTCACTAGGAAGCCAGAGGGCAACGGCTCCTCCTCCGCTTCCCCAGAAGGCTCCCTGAGTCTGAGATGTGCCTTCTCTACTGTACCATCTGAATGACTTTGCACATGCTGGCTGCACTTCCTTCTCAGGGACAGAGAGGCTCAAATCTCAAAGGCCCTTGGGGGTAGCTACACCTTACCTCCATCCTACCCATAGGCAAGTGCCAACTGAGTGCCAGTGTACAGTGCTGCGGGCCTGCTCACATGGCATCCCACATGGCACCAGGGACAGTCCAAGGAAGAACGCCAGCCACCTGACAGCACCAAGGAAGGCAGAGATGAAGGGGTCAGCCTACACCTACGTGCTCTGTCCTGTGCCTATTTAATACCTTCAAAAATACTCAGGAAGGCAGAGGCAGGCGGATCTCTGTGAGTTCAAGGCCAGCCTGGTCTACAAAGCAAGTCCAGGACAGCCAAGGCTACACAAAGAAACGCTGTCTCAAAACAAAATAAAACAAAACCAAAAAAACCTCAAAGAAAAAAACATCCTACATCCTTCCTGAACTCAGGAGCAGAGGAAAGCATCTGTTTCCGTGAGCTCACCTGACAGAAGTTTAACTACCTTTTATTAACCACCCACCAATTACTAACAGGCAACAAAAGGAGATATCCCCATTCCTGGTGGTCATTACCGAGCTCAAAGGAGATCCCTGGAACTTTAAGCATGAACAATTCGAGAGCAAGTGCCATCCTCATCTGATACCACACCTAGAACCACAAGTCCCAGAGTGGGGACAGGCTCCACTGTTAACCAGCAGAGACTACATGTCCCAGGGTCTACTCTCCCGGGGCAAAAAACATGC